CTACTGCTCAATAGGTTGGAATGATTTATTGATGTTTCTGAAACTGATGCTCAACAAAACTCAATTTTTGTGTTGAGAAATATAATAATTGTGTGAAATTTGTACAAATGTGATGTGGCAAAAATAAAGTTGATAATAATCAGAAATGAGTTTGAGCAGCAAAATAGCATATCAGAACTAGCTCACAGACAAACTTTATGGTGTCTTGAGAAAGCCTAGTCTGAAAGTTTGGAGTAGTTTTAAAATTTAAATAACTGAAACAGTTGGCATAGATAGATAGCTACATATATGTTAGCATGTTTCTAGGATAGATTAATGTCACTAGCATGTTTCTAGTATAAATTAGCATGTTGTTATAAATTTAATATGAATTGGCATGTTGCTAGTATATTTATAGTATGAATTAGCATGTTGTTAGTATGTTTCTAGTATGGATTAGTATGGTAGCAGGTTTGCTAGTATGTTGCTTCTATGATTAGTATGTTGTTAGTTTGATTTGGTATGTAGCTAGTATGTTTATAGTATGAATTAGCATGCTGCTTGTATGATTAGTATGTTTCCAGTATGGAATAGTATGGTAGCATGTTTGTTAGTATGTTTCTAGTATGGATTAGTATGTTAGTATGAATTGGTATGTTGCTAGTATGTTTATAATATGAATTAGCATGCTGCTAGTATGATTAGTGTGTTTCTAATGCGGGTTATATTGTTAGTATGAATTGGCATGTTGTTAGTTTGTTCAATGTAAAGTCAATGGCAGGTTTTTTTTTTAACAATGGAAGTCTATAGGACAGTTGCTAAGGTGCTGTAAGTGGTTGCTAGGGTGTGGCTAGTGAGTTGAAAGGTCATCAGTGATTGACAGATTGGTAGTCTGAGTGAAATTAGCCCAACTTTAAGTTAGTCTGTATGACAGTCTGGCGGAAAGTTATAAGGTCATAAAGTTTGGTCTAATGTTAAGTCAATGGGAGTTTTCTGAATTTTCCAGGTCAGTTTTTGGATCAGTTGGAAAAGATAGAGCAACATGAGTCAGACCAGTTTGGAGGTTTGGTGTTATTTTGGTGGTTGTAGTATGAACGGTCTTGGAGGAGATGTGTTCTTAAAATAGTCTAAGAAGAAGAAGAAGATGGAAGAATAATAAGTTTATGTAGTATGACCGTGTGTTGGCTTTCTCAAGCCACTATAATGATTTCTCAGTGATCACGTGACAATGATGTTTGTTGTAGTCATGATAAAAAATCTGCATTTTAAACTATTCAAAATGAAAAGCATTTTTTTTTACCAATATTACAAAAATATTTAAATTTTGAAATATAAATATATCATATAAATATAAATATAGTGTTCACAATAGTAGTGTCCTCATCAGTCAGTAATGGTCATCCAGTCAAGAATTTAGTGCTCGAACATCTTTGCCCATTTCGTCTTACAATGACAGTAATTTCCTTATTGTTCAGCATGCAAACTGGACATTACATTTATTTATTCATTTATATTTAAAACGTTTTAAAATTCATAAACATTCAAAACATTTCACATATAGACACTTTTCCACATTTTTCAATAATCATTTGTACATTTTTAGTGTTCATTGCAGTGTGGCAAATCAATTTAAGCTTTCAGACATTCACCTAGTCTCCAAGTAAAAAGAATAGTCCAACCTAAAATGTAGATATGCTATTATTTTAACCATCGTCAGACCATACAAGATGTATTTTTCTTATTCAGTTGAGTATTAAAGGAGTCACATTAAATCCAATATAAAATTAAAACCACTAATAAGGGTAAGTTTTGTTTTAGGAATTGAGATGTATACATCATCTAAAAGCTGAGAATGTAAGCTTTCCATTAATGTTTTGGAATAATGTTTGGCCGAGATTAAACAATTTGAATATCTGGAGTCAGAGATAAAAAACAACAACTAAATATTGAGAAAATAAACTTTTAAATTAAGTTCTTAGTAATGCATATTTCTGATAAAAATGTTCTGATATATTTACTGTAGGAAATGTACAAAATATCTCATTCATACAGTCTATTTTTGGCTCTTGCCACAAATAAATCTGCAAAACATAAGACTGGTTTGTGGTCTAGGGTCACATAAAGGCAAGACAAAATGAACACTTGCTACATCATGAGTGGTGAGGTGAGTAAATCAACAGCAAACCATCATTTTCAAACATCAGTTCGACCTTGTACTCAAAGCAATACTTTCCATTTCAAGTCAAGGGTGATTTAATGTTGGTTTGAGCGTGACAAAAGGCATATATGGTTAAATTGTCAACCATCAACCAGTATGTTGAAGCTATTCAGGGATGCTAATCTTGCTAGTTAAACTGTTTAGGAAGCCTACAGGGATGTCAGCCTCCAGCAGACAGCATATGCTAGTGAGCAGTCCTGCTAGTAGTTTCCGCATGGTGTCTCTATTCTCTGAAATCCCCACCGTGAGGCTCTCTGTCCCTCTCTATTCCTGGGAGCTCAGGCCTATAGAGCACTGCTCTGCCATCTGGCTCTCTCTATACGCCACCGTAAACTACTTCCCCGTCCATTCACCTCCATTCTCTCACACTAGCTTCTGTTTGTTGTAGAGGAGTGTCTAACAGTGTCTGCTGCATCCTGCATTAGCAATGGCTGGTGTATCTCTTCATCTTAAGTGGACAGTAAATCTATTGGGCATGCACTCTCATTACACCACTAATAATTGGATAATGCAGTCAGTGCCAAAGAACTGCTTTGCCAACAATACTTTTGTTTGATTGATTGATCAATGCGTGTAGCCCTGTAAAATGGACTTTTTTGTCTAAGTGGGGTGAAATGAGATTTAGGAGCAATGTTGAGATCGAGCTGTACTACTTTAACATTGTTTCTGACACTAAAAGATGCCTAATTTGTTAACAGGCATAGTTCTTTGCTGATGTATTTTTATTGAAATTGGTTGTGTGGATTTGATTAGGGCTTTAGTTGTGTAACAGGCATGAACTATTTTTGGCTGTTTACTAATTTATGGCAGGTGGATTTGGTAAAGGGGCATTGTTGGATTGATTGGATAGAATTCTTGGTAGTGCAGTATGACTCATCCTGCGCTACTTACATTTAAATGTTGTTCTCCAAAGTGCGAAAAAACAAAAGTATATATATATATATACATATATATATATATATATATATATATATATACATATATATACATATATATATATATATGTATATATATATACACACACACACACACACACACACTCACACACACAATAGTCACACAAAAGTTTTAATAACTCATTTCTAATAACTGATTTATTTTATCTTTGACATGATGACAGTAAATAATATTTGACTAGATATTTTTTCAGACACCTCTATACAGCTTAAAGTGACGTTTAAAGGCTTAACTAGGTTAATTAGGTTAACTAGGCAGGCTTGGGTAATTAGACAAGTTATTGTATAACGAATGTTTGTTCTGTAGACTATCGAAAAAGCTTATAGCTTAAAGGGCTAATAATTTTGACCGTAAAATGATTTTTAAAAACTAAAAACTGCTTTTATTCTAGTCAAAATAAAATAAATAAGACTTTCTCCAGACAAACAAATATTGTCAGACATACTGTGATAATTTCCTTGCTCTGTTAAACATCATTTGGGAAATATAAAAAAAAAAACATTCAAGGGGGGCTATTAATTCTAACTTCATATGGATATACAGTTGAAGTCAGAACTATTAGCCCTTTGAATTGTTCATTCTTTTTTACTTTACAGTACAATAAAGTTTCATTATTTAATGTGTTTTCTATCATGAAATAATAATGAACCATACTTTAAACAATATAGCATTTATTAATCATAGTTGAACATTTAGCATTGCATTATTAAAATCGAAAGTTTTAGGTTAAACAGCAGTGTGAGTTAACATAAATGAACAATGAACAGTTTTATTCTTATTAAAAATGATGAATATATACTATTATAAATGCATTGTTCATATTTAAACATTATCTAATGCAACCTTATTGTAAAGAGTTTCCGTTTATTTTGATAATGGCATCTGATTTTTTTAATCATCAATACAGTGATACGTTTACACAGGATTATTTGAGGAATATAAATAACATCGTTTATTTTTAGGTAATTAAAATTTGATTTTAAGCGTCTTTACTTTCACTTTGGAACAACGGAGTGCATTCATGCAAAATAAAATGTTAATTTCATAAAAAATTTGTCCAAACATTAGAAGGGTAGTGTTTATTGATCTAGGAGTGCACTAACATATAAATATATAAAATATGTAAATATATAAAAACATATAAATATATGAAAAAATAAATGGTCCAAACATAGACCCTTTGACAGCTGGAAGCATATTTGTACCTTTTTTTTTAATCCTTAAATGGTGCATATAAGTACATTAAGGTGCTACTTTGAACCATTGAGGGAGTGCACAAATGGGTACCCCAAGTGTTCACAAAAGGACTAAAAGAATGACATTTTATCCAGTGTTTAAGCACATTATTCTTGTCTAGCCAGATCTAAATGCAATCAGACCATCCCTGTGTTGCTTTTCATCTAAACTCCTTGTTCTCTGCTTTTGTCTTTCTCCCTCACCTCCAATTTTCTCCCCGTTTCTGACTGCTTTTGCTTTTGTTTGCTTTTACATCATCCTCTCCCCATTTTTCATGTTATGCCCCTTTCTGGTCATGCCACACGATCTTCTCTTCCTTTTATACGTGGCTCCTGTCTCTTTCTTTCCTTGCTTGGCTGGCTGTGACTGTAGAAGGAGAAGGCGGATGTCCAGGACGCAGGTACAGCTGTTTCCCCTGTCATGCATGCATCCGTTTGCGTCTCTTTGTATGGGTAAATGTATTTCTGTCCTCTTTTTTTGTGACTTCTTCCTCTTTCTTGGCACAATATGTTAACTATATATGTTTGTTTTTTGACTTTTGGGATTCTTATACAATTCTATCCCCTTTCAGATGTGCATAATTATTTTTATTCAATTTTCCTTCTGTCAGAGCTCAGGGCAGCAGATCCCCCTGGTGGTTGAAAGCTGCATTCGCTTCATCAACCTGCATGGTAAAAATGACAATTGAAAGACTTCATTATCATATTATTATTATAGATGCTTTTTTAATTATTAAATTAGTTCTGTACACAATTATTTGGCTTTAAAGTGTGATCAGTTAACATGCAATTCAGACTGCAATTATACCAGTAGCATAATTAACATTAAACAACTAATTATTTATGCTAATGTTTTTTTTTACAGGTCTTCATCATGAAGGCATTTTTAGGGTTCCTGGATCACAGACTGAAGTTAATCATATCAGGGATGCTTTTGAAAGAGGTATGAGTGTATTTAAGTCAATGAATACCTGGGCTTGTACCATATTGGTCTAATCAGGTACATATTTCAGTAAGTTTGCACTAGTCCTGGGAACTGAATAGTTTTGGAACAAATAAAGTAAAGTAAAAAGTCAAAGTAAAGTAAAAAGAAAGTAAAGAGGCAAAATGGAGGAGGCTCATTCTTTATCCTGGCGCTGCAGATGCTCTGTTTAACTGATTTCTCAATAGTGATATATTAAGTTTTTACAAAGTCCACCATGTAAATGCATAACATATCCATGGCGCGACACAACTGACTCTTAAAGGCAGTGGGAGATGAGACTCTAATTGGTTCAAAACACACCCATAACTTGTTAAGAGAATAAGCACAGCCCTGTTAGACCATGTGCCAGGACCTATAACTCTAAAATAAGGGTTGACATCTGTCTTTTAAAATATTGAATTGTCCCATTTTGAATCATTACGGGATGGGTTTTGTCCCGTATTTTTAAAAAATTTTTAAGGTAGCTTTTCATGCAATCGTTAGTCAATTGATGTCATCGTTAGTTTGATTGGACTTTTTAACTGTTGAGGGTAGGTCTTCTAAGCAGAGTCGGTCAAGTCTTGACAGAGAGTAATTGCAGATGCTTCCCCAGGTAACCCTCCGCATCTTTCAGAGCTTAAAAGCAAGCGACTGAAAAATACTGCAGAGAGTGGGAGGAAACAAATACCTTGCTGCAGAGTGTTAGACATTTTTATTAAGCCAACTGCACGATTTGTCGGAGAGCGTTCTCTGTGGTTCATGGTGGTCTGTTGGACAACATGCCTCTTGAGAGCAGCATTCCCACAATGAAAGAGCTTGCAAAAATCAAAGCAGTCAGACAGTTCTTCGTACTCCAAGTCTCTCCCGAAGCAGAAATGGTAATGACAGTGTAATCATTATCAACAATATTTAGGGTAATTGCTTAATAATGCTAAAAATGTGACTAAGTTTGTGAAAATATAGCTGGAGTCATTTTGTAATTTACTGTTTTCTACATGAATAATATATGTATTTAATATTAACTGAGTAAAACAATGTCAACAACTCAAATCAAAGGGAAATTAATGGCTACAATAAAACTTTATCTCAGAATTAGATTTGGCTGACACTGAAAAAAAATTCTGGTTGCCTTACTTGTTTAAGCTGAATCAAATTCACCACTGGCATGCTATTGGGCCTGTGATCACTGTGGTCTAGGCCGCCAAGGGTTATGGCCCCCGCTGCAGTATGCCTCCCTTATTTTTTTGTATCAAAAGTTGTAATCCTAGTTAGAATAGAACCATCTTAGTCTAATATTGACTTACATTTTCTTATGAAATAAGTGTTTTATTTACATATAGCCTTAAAGTGTCTTTTGAACACTTATGGCTTCAGTTGGTAGAAGACTAGATCTGCCAGTTTCAGGCCGAATATTTTCCTGGATCTCTGCAGGGTGTGATTATCCATCTGCAATGTAATGAACCATAATAGGGTTAGTCAAATTCATATTAACTTATTTTTTTATTATTATTTTACATTTTTATGATTAGTGTCAAACTATTTTCAGTTATTTTCAGCTATTTAAAGGGGACAAACATGAATTGTGAGTAAGTTTAGTTTCATAATTAAGCATTTGGTTAAAATGATTAATTATGAAAACTATATAGATAAGAGTAATACAAATAAACTTCTGATTCAACAGGTAAAGCTTTAAAATGGATAAAGCTATCTAAAAATATCACTGTACAAATATTCACTGCTTACATGGCAACATGTTTGAATTTGCCATGTAAATGAATTTCATTCATGTAAATGAATATTCTTCATATTTTTTTTATCTCCTTATGATCAATAAAGTAGTAAATCTTGAAAAATGAATCAGTCACTCGGTGTTGAAAGTCACATGATTGGCTGCCCGCTACCGATATCTTGCTTTCACACTTAAATAAATTCAAGATCAAAGTCAACAGAGAGATTTGCTGAAGAATCCCATAGTAAAGTAAAGAATGATTGCATTGATTTTGTCGGCTCAAAACGAATCCTTTAACTTTAATTTCTTTAGCCATGCTCATGCCACAGACCCCGGGTGAATTAAGAATAAGAATGTACCATACCGTTGTAAAATGGCAGTGTGTATACAATTGTATATTTTATATTCAGATATGCCTTTTCTTACAGTCTCCCGCCAACTGCTCTTGTTTGTGTGTTTTGGGTTTGCAGGCGAAGACCCACTCACTGACAGCGAGAGTGACATTGATTCAGTGGCGGGGGTCCTGAAGCTCTATTTCAGAGGACTGGAGAAACCTCTGTTCCCTGAGGAGAGCTTTAGCCAGCTCATGGAGTGTGTCCGTAAGAGGCCTTTCATCTGCTTCCACGTGACTGTGTGCATATTCAGACTCCAAGAAAAGCATTTCATCTGCATTAGAAAACAACATAAATAATGATGCTAATGCATTTCTTAGAACTTTACATTTTACAATTCATTTTAATCAACTGATCACAAAGTAAAACTGTTTAAAAATTTGGCATCTTTTATTCAGCAAGAGTGCATTAAATTGATCATAATTAACCATAAAGATATGTATACTGTAAATAAATAACTTTTAAATAAATGCTGTTCTAGCTAACTAAATATTAGTCAAATAAACTTTCACAAAAAAAAAAAATCACTTTCAATGACAGATTTTAGATTTTTTTGCCAACATTAATAATGCTTTGGATAAGTTAGAAGCAGAATTTTTTTTTGGATAATGGATTATGTTATGTTTATTGTCAAAAATCATACTATGATCATACTACACATACACATTTCTTTGTAAATACATACAAAACAGGCTCTAATATTCATAACAGCACACCCACATAATTATAATGATATATTTGTCATTTATTTAGCCTGCAGTCCTCAAAACAAAAACTGGAAAAAAAGTGATTATTATCAAACCTTAAAAAAATATAAAAATACAGTTGAAGTCAGAATTATTAGCCCCCTGTTTATTTTTTCCCCAATTTCTGTGTAACAGAGAAGATTTTTTCAACAAATTTCTAAACATAATAGTTTTAATAACTCATTTCTAATCGCTGACTTTTTTATCTTTGCCATGATGACAGTAAATAATATTTTACTAAATATTTTTTCAAGACACTTAAAGTGACATTTAAAGGCTTAACTAGGTTAATTAAGTTAACTTGGCAGGTTAGGGTGATTAGGCAAGTTATTGTATAATGATGGTTTGTTCTGTAGATTATCGAAAAATATATAGCTTTAAGAGGCTAATAATTTCGAATTTAAAAAAATTTAACTGTTTTTATTCTAGCCAAAATAAAACAAATAAGACTTTTTCCGGAAGAAAAAATATCATTAGACATACTGTGAAAATTTCCTTGCTCTGTTAAACATAATTTGGGAAATTCAAAAAAAAGGGGGAAAAGGGGCTAATAACTTACTTCAACTGCATATATTTAGGAAAAATTTGGAATTTTAATTGCTTACAAATTAAAATTGAAGAGATTAAATATTTTTAATCTTATACTTGAAGGTTATACTTGTTAACATTTTTAACAAGTCAGTTTTTCTTCTGAAACTCTTGAGGCTTACTATTTTTGTACAGAGTGTATAATACACATGTGTCAAACTTCTAGAAGGCCGTAGATCTGCACCGTGTCCAACCCTAATTAACCACACCTGATTAAACTAATTGATTCCTTCAGGCTTGTTTGAAACTTACTGGTTGTAAGTAAGTGTGTTGGAGCAGGGTTGAACCTAAACTGCCCCGTCCCGAAACTGAGTTTGACACCACTGGTATAATAGATTTATTAAAGGAAATGAGGATTAAATATTAGAAGTTATATAAAAATGAATCTTTTTGCCAATATTTAAAAAAGATCTCAAAAAATACAGTTAAAAAGACAAAAATGTCCATAAGATCTGTGCACTTCCGCTTATTCCAAATGTGTTTACTATTCTACAGTACAGTAATCATTATAAATATTATAAAAATAATTAATTAATATTTTAAAAGAAACAATTATGTCCATGAGGAAAAGTTTGAAAGAATCCTGCAAAAATGCAGTTTCCACAAACAAATGAAGCAACTCCTTTATTAATTAAGTCAACATTGATAGTAATTTATACCTTTTGAGCACCAAATTTGCATATTAGAAGGTTTTGAAAAGCATCTCGTGTCACTGGAGTATCGATGATGACTGATGAATGATTATTAATATTGATTTTTATATTTGTAAATATTAACGCAACATAACAGACAAAATAGTACAGACCCCATACCTTTAAATCAGGCATGTCCAAACTCGGTCCTGGAGGGCCGGTGTCCTGCAAAGTTTAGTTCCAACCCCAATTAGACACACCTGGGCTAGCTAATCATGCTCTTATTAGGCTTTCTAGAAACATCCTTGCAGGTGTTGAGGCAAGTTGAAGCTAAAATCTGCAGGACACTGGCCCTCCAGAACCCTGCTGTAAATGGATGGTTCACCCAAAAATGAAAATTATTATCATTTGCTTATCCTCCACTTTTTTCAAAACGTAAAGAGTTTCTTTTATCTGTTGACTGAAAAAGAAGATATTTTGAAGAATGTTGGAATGCAGACTCCCAAAGTATTTGTTTTTCCTATTGTGGATGTCAATGGCTGAAATTCTTAAGAATATCTTCATTTGTGTTATACCAGGAGTGCCCAAATGCGATCCTGGAGGGCTGGTGTCCTGCAAAATTTAGTTCCAACCCTAATTAGACACACCTGGGCTAGCTAATCAAGCTCTTACTAGGCTTGCTAAACATCTTTGCAGGTGTGTTGAAGCAAGTTTGAACTAAAGTCTGCAGGACACCGATTCTTCAGGAATAAGTTTGAACAGCCCTGTGTTATAACACCTTGAGGGTAATTTATAGTTTATAACCACACGAGTGTGAGTAAATGATGAGGATATTTCTCCCTTTAAGAATTACCATATATGTAATTTTTATGGCAAATTTAATAAGTTGCTTATATGAAAATAGTTTTAAATACAATGTGCTGACTAATTTCTTATGTACTTTCTCTCAGAAATGGAAAACATGACCGAAAAAGTAGCGCAGATAAAGTCAGTAGTGTCGTCCTATCCCAGACCTGTCATCATAGTGATGCGGTATCTCTTCGCCTTCCTTCATCAGTGAGTCCTGCTCTCCTTTTCTCAAAGACCGTTCCAAACCACATTGATCCAGTGTGTGACCTGTTTTGTTTGTATGCTTGTGTGTTCAGCGTCTCTCAGTACAGTGATGAGAACATGATGCAGCCGTATAATCTGGCTGTCTGCTTCGGGCCCAGTCTGCTCCGAGGCGTAGAGATGGGTGGTGACGAGGTGACCCTGGCTCCTCAGATCAATGAGCTGGTCAAAACCATGATCCTTCATCATGAGAACATCTTCCCAGGACCTTCTGAACTTCCAGGCCCCGTTTATGAGAAGTGCATGACTTTGGAGCAGGAGTACTGGTGAGTCTTAAAGCTTTGATATACTATTAAAAAAATTGCTTGGGAGTAAAAACACATTTAAAAAACCTTTAGAGATTTCTAGATTGATTGTAATGCAATGTCTTATAAATAATTTCAAAATCTGTTTTTTTTTTCTTTTTCAGTGAACCCATCACAGAGGAGGGCGAAGGAGACCCTGAACATCTTCCCAGTGAAGATGGTAAGAAAAGACCCAAATCACATCATGCAAATTTCATTTATTCCTTAGACGTTTGGAGTATTGCTAACCTTTCATGTTATCTTCTGTGTTGGGTTTTTGTGTGCTTTTCCAATCTTTCATGTTGGATTTTGGCCAATGTGGCATTTGTGTTGCCATGCTTTGTGTTGTGTGTTTGCATTTTGTGCTGTGGGTTTGTGTGTGTGTAGAGTGGGAGGCTGTGGCCATGTTTGATTATGTTGCACGCTCTGCAGCCGAGCTGTCATTCAAGCAGGGTGAGCACCTCCTACTGCACAGCAAGGCCTCAGCTGATTGGTGGAGAGGGGAAGTGGGAGGAATGAAAGGCTTGATCCCCCATAAGTACATCAGTGTGGTAGAAGGGTGAGACCTTATTTGCATAAATTACATGATGTTATGCTAGCTCTGTTTTAAACCTAGTGAACTGCCTCATTGCTTACTGAAGCACAGAATGTATTCTGGGGTCCTTCTTCGTACATGGGTTACTCAATTTGCTGGATTTGGTTATTGACGGTTTGACACGATCAAGGATCATTTCGTTCTTCAAAACTCATGAGAGAGTTGTTGTCATAGCAACAATTCTGGTAGCTTAAACCAAATACTGAAAGTATGTAAGTTTAAAAATATATATTAACAAAACTTATGCAATCTGCACTCCGAAATTATAGAAAATTTAAGAGTAAATTTATTGATATGGGATTTTTAGATACAAACACGTACAATTGCTTTGGTACAATTTGTGTTTGATAATAGACATGCACGATATTCTACTTTTTTTTTAAGGAATAACACATTTATGCTGCCATGAACATGTTTTGACAGTTAATATGACGGTGATTTGATGCTTCACAAAAGTTGCAGACGCCTTTACAAATATCAAAATGCTTTTTGTGATGCAAAATTTATTTAAACATCCAGTTATTTTTTACACTGATAAGGAAACTGGCTATGAATACTACTATGACTACAATAATAAAGAAAATCCGCTCTAACTGTAAAACTAAATAAATTGCGAAATACTATTGACAGATAAAAGTGTAAAGCCTGCAGCTCACAACAAAGCTGAAAAGTTTTTGCATTTCATATTTAACAAACTGTTTCCTAATAACTTTATGTAATTCATGGATAATTGAATATTAATCAGATGATGTCATTACGCTGCTGTGCCGTCAGCCAATCGTTGCATTGCTGATCATGATTTTGAGGATTGATAGATCTGTCTTGCACTGCACATGCAGCGATCTCAGATCAGTTCGTCCAAACATTTTAATCTGATTCGTGAAGTTATTTGAAGAACCAAATTAACCAGAAATCTGTTATCAAGATTAAAAGACTCAGGATCTGCCAAATCATCTTAGATCATTTAAAGGTGGTACGAAGAACAGACCCCAGATCACTATGGAGTAAAACGAATTTTTTACATTGATTTATAATTTTTTTTTGTTCTGGTTATTTGTTTTAGCTACTAATTTTCTTTGTTAAATTAGTATGAAAATGTAAAAAAAAAAAAAGATGAAAAATGTCATTTTGTGCAGCATTGTTTAAACCCCATGGTCTTTATTTATTTGGCTTTTACACATTCAGGAAACCTACTTCTCTTGTTCTTTCTGCAATAGAAAAATATAGTAAAATTAGTAAGAGTAGTTCTAAATTCAGCAGTTTTCATTAAATCACAGACTCACAGGCAAAATATAGCAAACAGAATATATATTTTGTTTATTGAATGGCTGTATGCACTCTTGCTCATGTGGTATTGCTTAACTGCTTAACCATATGACACACACACACACACATATATATATATAAATAGTTGGCAAACAGCAAATGCCATTTTTTGATTGTATTTATATATATATAGTCAGAACTATTTGCCCCCATTTGATTTTTCTCTCTCTCTCTTTTTTTTATATTTCCCAAATGATGTTTAAGAGAGCAAAAAAAAAAATTCACAGTATGTTTGATAATATTTTTTTCTTCTGGAGACAGTCTTATTTGTTTCATTTCAGCTAGAATAAAAGCAGTTTTTAATATTTTAAAACCCATTTTAAGGACAAAAATATTCACCCCTTTAAGCTATATTTTTTGATAGTCTATAGAACAAACCATTGCTATACAATAACTTGTCTAATTACCTTAACCGGCCTAGTTAGCCTAATTAACCTAGTTAAGTGTTAAGTGTCTGGAAAAAAATATCTATTAAATTATTATTTTTTGTCATCATGACAGCGATAAAATAATCTTAGAGATGTTATTAGAGATGAGTTATTAAAAGTATTAAGTTCATAAATGTGTTAAAAAAAAAAGCTTCTCTCCGTTAAACATAAATTGGCTAAACAGATTATTGGCTAATAATTCAGGGTGTATAATAATTCTGACTTTAACTGTATATATACATATATACAGTGGTCTCACGGTTTAGGTTGGTTATGATTATCATGCCATCGATTCAGTTCAATTCGATATCTAGGTTCATCACGGTGCATTTTCGATTCTTTAATTTCCTATTTGAAATTTCACTTAGCAACACAATAATTCTTGTATTAAAATATATAATTTAGGATTAGATTTTTATGTGTAATACAAATTTGTCCTTTAATACAAGCAGTCAGATATATGTACTGTACCTTTAATTTTATCCTCTAAAGAAAACACTCTTTTGAATGTATAATAAAAAACTCAAGTACATGTATAGAACAACATAAGCATTTATAGCAAATAAACAAATGTTAATATTATCCCACTTGCTTTTTGAGCTTTGTTGAGCTAAGTCTTAAATGCCTATGATTGATCACACATTCAACAGAAAGGCTGCAAGTCAGCGCGGCTCTGGCGCTGTTCAGCAAACACTGACATGGACACTGATGTTAAGCGGCCACAGCGATCAGATGATCCATTATAGACGGCGATGCGGTGGAGAAAACTTGCTCTGCAGACACATGAGAATGAAAGAATGAGAGAGAGAGAGAGAGAGAGAGGGAGGGAGGGAGGGAGAGAGGGAGGGAGGGAGGGAGAGAGGGAGAGAGGGAGGGAGGGAGGGAGGGAGAGAGGGAGGGAGGGAGGGAGGGAGGGAGGGAGGGAGGGAGGGAGGGAGGGAGAGAGGGAGGGAGGGAGGGAGGGAGGGAGAGAGGGAGGGAGGGAGAGAGGGAGGGAGGGAGGGAGTTTACAGCTGTCATTTTTTTCTAGCTGGGTTCTGATGTACTTCCCTGTAAGTGAAAAACTGTCCAACATCTCACAAGTAGTGAATTGTGCACACAGTTATCTGCTTTTAAAGTAGTTGGAGCGTTTTAATTACTCTCTGTCTTCTCACTCACCATAAGCTACCGCCATATAACGCATATGTGATAAATGACGTCAGTACAAAATAATTGGTTGTAATTTTTACTAAACTAATACTGAATTGTTCGCGTCTGCCTCTGCCTCACGGTGTATCGAAAAAACAATTAATTTAGGCACCCCTAATATGTATATATATTTTACAGGGCCATTTTTGATCCTGTCTTCAGCATTCTGCTGGGCTACACTTGCGCTTTGTGAGTGATATGTGCTCAGAAAAATGCTCAGTGTCGGTTATCGCACACTTCTACTCTGTAGTCTACTCCTAATTGTTTTCAATAGCTTTAGATTTTAGCTTATTACTCATAGTTTTGAATAACTTTGCGGTCTCTAATGAAGCTAAAATACATAAACATACACAAACATTGTATAAAATAAGCTGTTATTGTGAAATCTTTGTGTTTTCAGTGTTGTCAGCATTGAATTACCATAGCTGTTGAGCATAATTTCCTAATCAGAACAGTTGTTGTTAATTATTTTAACACTAATTGCTTTACTTTTATATCACCATGTTGCAAAAATAACGGAATCATTAAAAAAAAAAAAAAAAGTTGTGTCACTAATAGACTTAGAGTAGGTGCTTTATTTAATTGACTAAACAGAAACAAGGTTTTGATGGACAGAAGTACATTCCATTGCCACGCTGAAAATACAGTCCAAGTTCATATCTAATGTTTCTCTGTTAGGAGAACAATTAGCCACCAGGTATGCAAACATAATGGGCTTCATTCATGAAATGGAAGAATCACACATTTTTTAAATCTCCTTGCTTAAATCGTCACATTCTCTTCACTGCAGCATTTATATAAAAACAGATTAACGAAATTTGTTCTGCTTGAGATTTATGAATGAGACTCATTGAGAGCACTGTACACATCTCTCACAGCCCAGTTTTTATATGCATCTAAACAAATACAGAGTCTAAGCTGACTAAACTCTATGGAAGCCATTGTATGCCGTAGACAAATGATTAAAGCCGGTTTACACAAGCATGTAAGCTGTTCTTAAATAAGCAGTAAAAAAAAACAAAAAAACACCAGCATTCTTGTCATTTAGATGAAAAATTGTTTACTGTTGTACTTTTTTTCTGGTCAATAAAAAGTAAATTAACAGCTAAAATGACAGAGGTAAAAAAAAACAGCACCTAGGAAAGCATCTGATGACAGCATTTGCGCAATCTTTGTAGTTTCACCACGTTTATTTAAATAGCACTTTAAGCAAACAGATTTACATTTTTAAACACGAACAGTGTAATTGACAGTGCTTCCAGTTGTAATTGCACTTTGATTTTACTGTAATTAATAACATTTATATAATTCCTGGATGTTGGAATTCAATGAATTGAACAAGAAATTTGCCTTGAGAGCATTTTTCATTTGAAGAAGGTGGAGCTTCAGAGCCTCACCCATCTATTGCATAATTGCCACAGTTCAAGTGTCTGGAAATTAATGGCCAACTGTTTAAAATGAACTCCAAACAACCTTTGTTAACTGCCTAATTTTCTTCAAAATGATGTTATCGCTTGAAGTACAATTTTATTACAAATTATTTCGTACAAATTAGTAGCCCTCCAATGAAATTCATTGTTAATTATTAGTACTCCTATGAGATTAATTGTTTTTCAAAAATGTCTTATGTGCTGTTTAACAGAGAAAAGATATTTCAGCCCATTTAAAACATAGTTTAATAAAAAAATGTTTTTATATAAATAAAAAAAATCATGTCTGTGAATTATTATTATTATTAAGAATTATTAGCTCAAAGTACAGTGTTGAGGATGAACTTTTAACTTTATTAATAATTACTTACATTTATTTTCATTAGTTTAACTTGGCTAAAGTTAACTTGGCTTAAGTTCAAATTAATCCGGCAAGTCATTGGACAACGATGATTTGTTCTGTAGACCATTGAAAAAAAAAATCTAAGTGTGCTATTAATATTGACATTAGCAGTTTTTTTTTAAATAATGTATATATTTTTATTGCAGTCAAACTAAAAGAAATAAGACTTTCTCCAGAAGAAAAATATAACAGCAAATATTATAAAGCATTTATTGGCTCATTACTTGTTGCATTAAATATTTTGCTTAGTTTTTTTCCTTCTTCATTGTGAAAGATAAATAAAATTATTAACAATCAATCAATCAATCAATCAATCAATCAGTAGAGTAGAAGTTATTTGTTGCTTGTGCCAATGTTTGCTTTCATTCCAGAAACATTGCTTAATTTCGTAAATATTATCTTAGTATCAATAATCTTACTTGTAGCCTCATGTCAATGTCTGGTCATCCACAGGATGGAGCGTAAGGACCGGGGAAAGAAGGAGGACAGTAGAGGGGGAAGCACAGGAAACCTAGCAGAGGAGCAGCAGCAACAGTCTGAACACAGCACTCGGTACCGCAGGTTATATTGCATCATGAATGTCCAATGCAGGCTTTATGAGATCTCACATGTTTTGCTGTGGTTCCCCCAGTATGCGAGTGAACAGCGACAGCGCATCTTTGCCCGGCCGGCAGAGGACCGGCAGTGGAAGCAGCGGCAGCATTGGTGGAGGAAACAGTGGGAATATGAGCCCTGTACGAAAGCTCACCCTGCAGGTGCCTGAGGGACGGCTCATGCTTCCTCCTCAGACCACTGCAGTCGCACGCCAATTCTCAGGGTATGACAACAGTCATTATTGCTGTTTTCAAATATGCACACAGTGTTGCACAAACTATTTGTAAAATGTAGTGAGCAAAGCAATTAATTACTCAACTTAAAATGTAGCTTAACTACCTTAAAAGCTACCCCCTAAGAAATGTAGCAAGCTATGCTATAAGCTACATGGCAAAAGTAGCTTAGCTACATCTAAGCTATTTTTTAATAGAAGCAACTTCAATCCAAGTTAGTTCTGTCTTAGTGATCAATAAAACCAACTAGTGCCAATAAAGCAACTGCAGGGTAATTGTTAAGTTCAGTTATTTACTGCAAATAATATAAAAATTTTACTTGACAGCAAAAAAATTCAAGAAATCCTGTATTGCACATTGAAAAAACTATAGTAATGTTTATTAAAAGGGAATATATTATAGTGTGTTTATGTGTGTGTGTGTGTGTGTGTCACACACACATATATATATATATATATATATATATATATATATATATATATATATATATATATATATATATATATATATATATATATATATATATATATACATACATAGTTGAAGTCAGAATTATTAGCCCCACTGAATTATTTGCCACCCTGTTTAATGGAGAGAAGATTTTTTTCAACACGTCTGAACATAATAGTTTTAAGAACTCATTTCTCATAACTGATTTATTTTATCTTTGTCATGATGACAGTAAATAATATTTTACTAGATCTTTTTCAAGACACTTCTATACAGCTTAAAGTGACATTTAAAGGCTTAACTAGGTTAAAAAGGTTAACTAGGTAGGTTAGAGTAATTAGGCAAGTTATTGTATTACGATGGTTTGTTCTGTAGACAATCGAAAAAAAAAAATTGCTTAATATTTGGCTAATAATTTTGTCTCTAAAATGGTGTTTAAAAAATTAAAAACTGCTTTTATTCTAGCAGAAACAAAACAAATAAAGCTTTCTCCAGAAGAAAAAATATTATCAGACATACTGTGAAGATTTCCTTGCTCTGTTTAACATCGTTTAGAAAATATTCAAAAAAGAAAAAAAAAATTCAAAGGGGGGCTAATAATTCTGACTTCAACTGTGTGTGTATATATATACACATACATACACTATAAATATATGATTTACAAATCTGTTAATGAATTATGAATTCTACTACATAATATAGTATTATTAATAATTATCGCAAACTAATAGTAATTAACATAGTGTACTTTAGCTTTTACTATGTTACTACAGTAAAAAAAAGGGAAAAAATATAAATATAAAACAATATAGGGTGATATATAAGCAAGTATTTGTATTATTTCACTATTGTATTGTTCAAAAACCCTATAGTGTTTTAAATATTTTAAATACTGGATTTACATTACATTACATCATGTTTTCCATGTAAGTGCATATGGGCACATTTGCAGAACAAACTGTGAATAAATTTAAAAACAAGTTCAACTGTTAAAAGAGCACAACATCAGAGTCAACTTTGAGACATGTACTTTGAGGTATGGTCCTGCTTCAGAAATAACCCTAACCCTAGACCTAACCCATACAGATGAATGGTACATCAAGTTTTCCACATTGGGTATCCAAAAACAAACAAACATAGGAATCTAGAATATTGTAGAAATTAAAGATATCAAATACAAAAATTCCATAAACACATCTTTCCGCTATTTGTACGTTTTATATTACGTTTTCCTTAATGGGAAAACAGGAGGACTTGTTTTAATGGTAGCAGATAATGAAAGTGTTTTGGATTACTAAAATGATATGGACATTACATTAAGATGCCTAAAGGTTTCAAAAAGCCTATATATAAAAAAAAGATGGACAAACGAGAACCTTTCTGTCGTAAACTATAGTAAAACAGCTTGACAAAAGCTGCGAACAGATTACATACAGGAATAGAGAAAAGAGCACTCTTAAATTATCAGCTGTTAGTCAGCACCTGCTCTTTTTACCTGGTCATTGCGCCTTTGCTGTGTGCAGTGTAAATGCAGACAATCGGATACGAGTCACTTTTAAAAGATGATGTGAGCAGGTCAGCAAAAAAATCGGATACAGTCACAAAATCTGAATTGACCATCAAGATCTGCAGTGTAAATGCAGCCATAGAAGGATATCTGAAGAATCATGTGAGACTAAACACTGGAATAATGATACAGAATAGAGCATTTTTCTTTCTAGAATGACAACAGTTTGTAAATATTAATAACATTAATAACTCCTAAATATCTGTTCAATTGGGAAATCTACATTTACAATTAAGCTTATTAGACATAGCAGCATATTATTAACATCAACAAAGATGTATGCTGCTGTTGTAAGTATGTTTTTATTGTAAAACTTAACAATAAGGTTGTGTTAATGCATTTACTAACATGAACACACAATGAACAATTCATTTATTACAATATTTCTGTGTTAGTTAACATTAGTTATTGAAAATAAGTTCATTGTTCATGTTAACTCACAGTGCATTAACTAATGTTAACAAGCATGAATTTAGATTTTAATAATGCATTAGTAAAATGTTGAACTATGGTTAATAAATACTGGATAAATATTGTTCATAATTAGTTGATGTTAGTAAATACATTAACCTTATTGTAAAGTGTGGCCGTTTTTATTTCAGCTTTTTACTTTTTTCTTGTTCTTTCTCTTCAGTCATCAGGAGCGCAGACACACTTTAGACTCTCTGAGGCCAGTAGGAGCTCCAGACAGACAGACAGTACATATCGACAAGGTCTGATCATCATTTTAATGTTTCAGTTAATGAAGTATGTTGCTCTGAGATTAAAATTTTGTTTGAAAAACTAATGTGAAACTAAAAGCATTAAATGAGCATAGCCTCGTGACGCACAAGGCTTGACAAATTATGAATCATAAAGTAACCATGAAAGCACAGTTTTGTAACTCGTTGGCTAAATTGATGTTCTAGGTTGTCACATGACAGCTTAATAATATAAAATATAATGCATTTCCACTTGTTAAATTAGTGTTTCAGTGAAATGTAAGACTCATTTTAAGTAGCATTTGATATTAATAAAATCCTCCAAGATTTTTGTTTATCTTCAGAACAAAAATTAAGATATTTTAGATGAAGTCTGAGAGATCTCTGACCCTCCGTAGTCAGCAGGGGTGCTGAGACATTCAAAGTCTAGAAAAGGAACCAATAACAACATTCCATGTGACTTCAGTGGTACAACTGTAATCACACAAAGCTCCAAGAACACTTTTGTTTACCGAAAAACTGTAAAAATTATTTTGTTCATGTCTTTCACGACAGATCAGGGTGTGCGTTGTAGGGGAGACCAACAGTTTGAACCCAAAAATGACCAGTCAGTTAAATGAAGAAGAGCTGGAGTCGGAGATTCAGTAAAAAGAAAGACGTTTACTGAAGATTTCATCAACAGAAGCCAACTTCAATGCTCTTGTAGAGTTCGTAGACTGCTCTGCTTACAATCACAAAACAACAATTATACTTTTGTATAATGTCATAAACTGTCATACATATAGGTGTTTAATCTGATTGGTTAAAAACACAAACAGACTTGGAAAATTTCCATGTGTGTGTGTTTGTGGCAAACCATTTCTCCAATGATTACTTAGGCATCATAATACAGATCCACAAATCTATAGAACACACAAACACACACACACACCGGACACACACACACATAAAGTACTATCTGTTTAATACTCAAGGCTGTGTTGTGTTCTCTCAGCCGTTTTATCACACTGGTTAAAAACTGATACAATCAGGATTTAAAACTGGCGGCTTACATACAAAAGAAATTAAAGATTTAACACACAAAATGGCAAATAACTCAGGAAACAGTTGTTTCCAATTCTTCATGACTCCAGTTCAACACAAAAGGTCTCCATGACCTCTCATCTAGCTTGGTAGATCCTGAGAAAACAAATCATTTGGCATACAAAAAAAGCAGCGACACACATATTATTCCAGATTTACTCTGAAGAGGGATGACACTACGGTCATCATACAATCTAGGCCCTTAAACACACAACTTTATTAATAATCAGGGCTTGACGTTAACTTTTTTGATCACCAGCGACTGTGGCTAGTAGATTTCCAACATTACTAGCCACTCGCCATTTTCACTAGCCACACTTTTCTTGTTGGGAAAATAAGTTTTATATGCATAAATCTGACTTTGACATGCTAAAATGACTTGATTTAGATGTTGTGTTATGTCCACATGCCTTCTCATTCATTTAACTTCTTGTGTCTATTGTGTATTAGCTTGCTCAGTGTGCATGAGCAAATGGGTTGTGTCACAACGCAATCGGTTTTTATTTCACATGACTTTTCAGGGCTCAAAATTAAGGATTTACCAAATTTATCTCTGACCACACCAAATAAGTATTTCTTAGCCACAAATTTTTAATGTGTCCAAACAAGGAAAATAAAGCGTTATAGGTACACTTTTTAATTCAACAAAACTTTTCTTTAAAAAACATTACATTTAAAAAAAGAATTATTGTCATAAGTCTAAAATATGCACAGTAATCTGTCCTGGCCTAAAGTCCCAGATCACCAACCAGCCAAAGTGGCTAGTGGAGGAGTCCGTCTAACCCGCCAGAGCTGAAATCTACCCACATTTGGCGGGTTGGCGGGTGTTAATGTAAAGCCCTGTTAATAATCATAAAGACATAAGAAATTATGTGTTGGAATTAAAAATACTGGAGCATTTATTATGAGCAGATTTGCATGATAGTCTGTGTAGTCATTATTATCTGACACAGGAGAGCAAGCAGAGCCATATTTACAGTTTTTTATGTTTTTTGGTGCACAAAATTGTTCTTGGAGCTTCATATGATTGCAGTTGAACCACTGAAGTTCCTTTTCTGGTCTTTGAACATCTCTGGACACTTGCTGTAGCTGAGCTCTCTTATTTTATCTAAAATATCTTAATTTGCGTTCAGAACATGCTTTCTCAGGGGATTGAATGGCACAACGATGTGTAATAAATAGCAGCATTTTCCTTTTTGGGTGACACATCCTGCTGTACTGATGAACATCTCTCTCTCTTTCTAACAGGAGGTCAGTCGTCAGATGAACTCCGTGTTTAAGGAGCTGTTGTCTCGTCAGCCTCCTCAAGAGGCCTTGGGTTCGAGCGCTTCTCCATCCTCTCCTCCTGCTTCTGTCCCATCCATCCCATCGGTCTCCTCTGCTGCTGCTCGACCTCCGGTGAAGAAGGGAGGCTTTGGCCTGCGCAGCAGAGGCCTCTTCAAACCCCAGGACCAACAGGACTGAAGGAGTGTTGTGGGAACGGCACGCTCATCACAGATATGAATCTATTTTTCCAGACATACAATATATTTGTCTCTTTTTGCGCCTTATTGACCGATGGATTTCTGTTGACAGTGACTGATTTCGGTTTTGTTTCGCGTGAGACCAAGTCGTTGATCCTATTATCGGTTGTGTTTGTGTTTTAGCTTTGACAGTTATTCAGGTCCTCAAGTCGAGATTCTTCCCATCGCAGTGATGTCCAACGTGTCTGTCGTTTTTTGACTGTAGTGTGTAGACCCTGTTTTAATATCTGCCGATGATGTACTGGAAGACAAAGTGTCGAGTCCCACAAAAGCTCAGATGATTCTGATCGACAAGTGAATTGTGGGAATGATGTCCGTGACAGACAGAGTCCACATTATTGTTTTAGATCTAGACGTGTCACCCTGAATGTAGCAAGTGATTCATGAAGGCCGACATCACACTCACTCTGATTTCTACTTCATTTGGAGTTTTAAACAGTTAGTTCACCACAAAATTCTGTCCTTGTGTGCTCACCTACCTCATTCATCTTCAGAAAACACATGAAGGTTTTTTTTAGTAAGATCTCAGAGATTTCTGATTCTCTGTTTAAGTTGTTCACCCAAAGGAATAAAAAATAAACCCATTTAAATCAAGCATTTTAATCCCAGGCTTTTTAAGACAAGACAACCGCTTTATATGAAGAACAGATTTATGCAAGGAATTTATTTATAAATAAACATTGATCCGTTACGATGTATACAGGAATTAGAAGTCATTGAAGCTTAAGTGTGCTTGCTTGAACTGTGACAGCCAATGACTGTGCCACATAGCAGTTTTGAACTTCTGCAAGATCCAATGAAGTTTGTTCTTGCATCACACTCGTTTTAATTATCCACAACAGCCAATGAGGTTCAGTACTGTGTGCCACACCCCTTTGATCTTCCATAACAACCAATAAGGTTTGTTCTTGCTTGTTCACATGGCACATTTCAGCTTCCTCAAGGACCAATAAGGTCTGAGCTTGCATGTTCTGTTTATGTTGACTGATCAATGTTAATATGTGCTATATTTGGTTTCTTTCTGAAGATTTGACTCAAGAATATTTCTTTTTATATCTGTTTACAAACATTTTGAGGCGTTTTGAATGAACGAACTTAATAAAAGGACAGAATTCTCTCAGATCAGATATCTGCATTTGTGTTTTGAAGATGAACCATTTTTATTAACATGAGGATGAGAAATTGATGACAGAATTTAGCATTTATTTGCTGAACTAACCTATAAATGCTCCTTGTTTTTCATTTTAGATATTTTGCCTAGCTAATGTAGTTCAAGCTACAACACAATGAATAATAAATTGCTCTAGTTTTTCATTTTTTAGATTACTTTTTTGGTATAATTTGCTATTTAATGTTGTTTTTTTACTTTTTAATTGAATTATTTTCCAACTCTTTGCTTAACATTGGATTGTTCTTTTTAAAAGCATTCAGTCTGAAAGGAACCAGCACACATGCATGCAAACACTGATGCGGATGGTTGGTCTCGCGTGGGAACAGGTGGAGCGGCCAAAATAAGCACAGCTCAGTGGCCATTTTTACCCCTCTGGCTCCATTTTCTCTACATACAAAAACTGTAAAGACAACTGTGAAGATAAGTGCCACTCGGAGCAGCTCAGGAACTGTCCAACACAGAAGCCAGAGAACTGACGGCAGAAACGATCAAACTGTGAATCTGCACATAGTCGCAGGAAGTACTATAGCTCTCACTTCCTCTTCGCTGCACATAAACGCCTCGTTCACTGGTGTCCCTCGACCTCCACCCGTCCCTTATTCAGATTCCTTAGCAGTGTGTGTCTCTGGTAGATCATGTCATTGATGTGTGGATTTCAATATTATCCAAATAAATTATATTCTGAAATACTGTCGCTCTGCGGAATACTTCATCATGGTTAATGATTCAAATGCTAGTTGGTTTGATGTTTTGTTTCATAATATCAGCGTTCGGAATACCAGATATTTGTCACTTTCTCACTTTTTTTTAAATTGTCAATAAAATAAATGAATGTTTTTTTTTAATAATCATCACTGTATGTTAGCTAGTTAATTGTAGAATAATCAAATTATTTATAATAGTAATTAGTAGCAGTATATGTTACTGGTTTGGTGTGCTAGTCAATATGCCAGTGTTTCTAACAATTAGCTAAATATCAGTGGTCACCTTTTAGTTGACTGTTTTGTGCTTTTGTAATAGTGTATTATAGTTTTTTATGTTTATATTTAGCTTTAACTTTGATTTAGTGATTTAAAGTGGGTCTATTAATGCAAAAAAATCACTTTTATAAGGGGTTAAAAACACAGTTGTGTGGCAACAGTTTGTGAATATAACCAGCTTCTAATTGTCAAAATGATTATAAAAAATATTTTTTATAATCACACTTGACACTCTGCACACTGACATGTTGATAGGCATTATTTTTAGGTGTGTTCAACATGAATCACGGCTACAGCTGGCGATCAACGAGATTAGAGCAGATAGGGGCGGAGTTGAGCCGTCAGGTCGGACAATTCGGGGCTCATGGTTTGCTGCAGTCATGAGAGATCACATGGTGTGATTATTTATTTATCTACTGCAATAACAACAAAGGAGTTACAGTACAAATAAAACGGAATATCTTATACAAACAAATAGTTTATTTGCAACAACAAGGCAATTATTAAATACATTTAAGTAGCCTATAACTAAAGTTTGAGAATAAAGAGGAAAACGAAAGAGTTTAAAACACTCTTGGGCTATTAAGATTGGTTTAAACGAGGTTTACATTTAAAATGTAATTTAAATAGCTTATGGCGCTGAATACAGTAGGTCTGTGAAAACAAGGTCGAAAATAAACCTATGCAAATAGTATCCTTTATAAACAAATTATTCCACAAAAAAAGATCATTACTGCAGTAAAATATTTGTGATCTTTTAATAAACATAATATGTACAAGATAGTGATGGCATAAAAAGTTAATTGTTTGGAAATTTGTTAGATGGAAGTTGTCCAATAACAAACCCAAAACACACGTGGCTGTTGTCATGCGGGGAATCCAGCCAATCGTGTAATATCTGTGTCGTCATCGCAGCTCCTGCAGTTGCTCTTCTGAAGCTGCTCTGGCTGAGTCCGGCATCTCATCTCGGAGTGCTGTTGTTGTACTTTGATGTCATGTGGCGTCAGTGCAGCGTTAAGTCGGACAAAATTTCTAACCCACATGAACTGCTTTAGGACAGATTTCGATTAGTCTGTGCAGCGCTGCATGAAGTCAACGCACATTTTGTATTTGCCACTATGCTGACACATAGGCATTCGTAGCTCCACCCTCTGTGAAACTTAAAGCGACAGTCACCAAAATGGCACAAAGCCTAAAAGGCCAGTTTTAAAGAGTTATAAAACATTATTTGTGTGGTATTTTGAGCTGTAATGTCACATAGACTCTCTAGGGACATAAGAGACGTATTTACATCTTGTAACAGGTCCCCTTTAATACTTCAGTTTAAACTTAATTTAAGTGCAGTTATGATGAGTTCTGTTTAAAACACACACATTTACTTTTTTGGAGAATAACACTATTCAAAATACAAGAATGCTAATAGGCCATAAGGGGAATCTAGAAAAAGTGGCTAGAAAATGATTTTCGTTCCCACGTCTGGGCACTACTTTTTTAATGCATTTCTGGATAGACAGCACCCTTATGGATGTTATGTTAAAAGTTCTCCATAAAAAAATACTGCAGTTTTTTGTCAAGATGCATAAATATGTTTAATTAGGAATTTACAAAAAACGAAAATCTTACGCTGCTAGTTTGGCCTGTAACTTTATTAATATGCATTTTAGCAACACACAATATGTGTCAAATCCACTTTTATACATGTAGCTACATATATGAGACAAGTACTGGTGCATTAATCTACTCAATTTTAAATGAAGACCATGAAATTAAGCTTTTTTTTTTTTTTTTACAATTAACCCACCGGATAACTTCACGGATTGGCACCAAATAAAACTAAAGAAGATATTTGAACCTAAACATGTTTGTTATGTTTTATTTTTCAAAAATGTTCAGTAAGCACTTAGGTATCACACAAAGTTAAAAAATAAAATCAATTTTGGTCCAAGTTGGCTAAAATGACATGAAATGCTGGTCTGCTGCAGAAATTTTTCAATAACGCCAAAAATGTAAAAATTTTACAGAAACTTTATAACAGCTCAGATTGAACTATCATGTGACACATATCATTTTTACTCATCACTACTATCCTTATCACAAAAATCAGAATCTGAAAGCTACATTTTAAACACACATTTTGACAATTTTTTCATTTTCATACAAAATATCCACTGTCCTGTTCTGGAATGCACATGTGATCTCACTTATTACAGTCATACACTCATCTCAGTCTTCTGGTGGCAATGAGCCTAAGAAACTGCAGACTCTCATACAGATGTTTGTGTGCCCTCATGCTGTGGTTATAGGGATGACCACTCATCACTCCATTGGTAGATCAACAACTTCTGAATCAATGAGTATATCTTGCAGTGCTGCATCTCCAAACCTTTTCCCCAGAATGCCCAGAAAATTCACCTAATTCAATGACTACAAGTTTTGGCATATAGCTTGATTAAAGACTAGCACTATATGATCCTTTCTTACCAAACAGTTACACCCAGAAACAATGATTTAGGTGTCTGCCTCCGGGCCCTTAGAAGCAAGATAAACGATGGCTGTGGCAAATGGAGATAACTTTCAGGTTCAAATCATCTGGAATATCAACACAATGGGCCAGTGTTGGTTCTTCAGTTGCACCAATAATCCATGAAAGTAGGTTAAACAGTTCAAATGGCACAACAGATTTTGCTGCCCTAATATTTAAATCATTAGATGTGGGTGACCATGGACATGTCATTCAAGGAGAGTTATCCACAATTCTCTTTAGTATCAATGCCACATTATGAAGTGTCCTTGTGTTCTCTGCAGTACCAGCTATTCTACTTGCTGTTCTTTCACCAATACTTTGACTAGTTATGTCTGTTGACTCAGTTGTTTCTGTACCTGATGGATGAGGTATTCTTTCTACCAGATGAGGTATTGGTTCTACCAATCTGCAGAAAGGGTTTTTTCAGAAATGAAAAACAATTCATTGATGTTGCTCTGGTTAGGAGAGTAAAACACCAGCTGGGGGAAATCATGGGACAGCCTCCACTTTAATTTATCCTGCCTGAAATAAAAAAAAAAAAAAAAATACAGTAAATGTTGATCACAATCATAAAATATCAAAACACATTGTCAACTTATGATAAAAAGAGGATTGTTATTATATGATGATTACTTATTTTGTGAGAAAAAAGAGGTTGCATAAATGTTCATTCCAAAGCTGCAAAATAAACTTAGGGTATTTCAATTACCTGTAGATTGAAGCATCAAGATCTTCATGGCTCTTTACCATATTCTTCTTAGCCGTGTCATAGTTGACACCCCTTGGTTTACAATCATTCGATGGTGGACGACTCTCTCAGAGAAGACCTTGTAGCTTACATCATAGGTTGGCTCATTTCTAATAAAAACATAAATATTTTTTTTTGTTCTGTAAATATTACACTGGCTTCTATATTTGGAATGCATATATTGTGTACATGTACAAACTAAAAGCAACTGGCAAAGCAAATTGAGTTTTTTTTATTCTTCAAAAGGAAAATACTTTAACAAATTATTTCAACATTTTTTTACCCTCACAAATGACTAGATATTATATTATGCTGAATTATTGTAACAACTGGATTAATGTTTAGCTTTTGAAATTAGCATTTGTTTTAATTAAATATTAAATTGTTTTACACTGAAAAAAAAAACAAAAAAAAACTTACTGTTCTTCTGACGCCTGTGTAACTGTTCCAGTAGTCTTTTATCAAGAACCTGATGCACCGTCTTCATCTTTAATATGCACAAAAATGCTAGGGTCTTCCTTTATCTCAGCTTCTTTAAGCAACTGACCTGTAAAAAAACAGAAATAGTAAATAAATATGTATTGAAAAAATAAACACAAGTTTTGACTGCTCAGGCAGCATATATGTGTGCAAAAACAATCTGAGTGTCTAATAAACATTGTAATTTAGACCATTTTAAGGAATGTATACAATAACAATGGTCCTAATGTAGTTCCTGTTTTACATTTTTAATTTCCATAGCTTCCGAGAATCCAAAAAGGTCCACATATTAATAAATAACATTAATTGAGGTAAAGTAGGTTTGATATTCACACATTTGTTCATTTAATGGCCCATACACTGTTTACCACACTAAGTTGAATATTAAGTCTGAAATAGCATGCAAGAGTGACTTTAAAACAATATTAGCACTATGTAATTAACTGTGAACAATGCTGTACTTTGATAGTCATTGACTTATAATATAATTACACCATGTAAAATTTGCAAAGAATACTTTTCTGAAATTATACTACTAAGTAAAAAGTTTGAATGTGCGAATATAAAACCAACTTGACCTCTATATAACATTATGAAAGCTGTTTTAACGTGAAAATATGATTGAATTGCCACTTGTTACAGTTATGATATAGTACAGGGGTCACCAACCTTTTGGAAACTGAGAGCTACTTCTTGGGTACCGAATAATGTGAAGGGCTACCAGGTATTAAATAATTTTTTTTTTCAATTTACTTTTAATTATATGTTATTTTTAATAATTAATAATATTCATCTATGTGAAGACATTGATCATGTTAATGATTTCTCACAGTAGTTGTCAACAATGATTTTACAAGGTAGATAAATATCAATATGCAAAACTTCATTTGTCTGATTTTTTTTTTTTTAAGTTTCTTTATTTTATAACTTAAATTAGTTTTTAAATTTACAACAATGCAAGTGTGATTAAAAAAGAATACCTATGAAAATATTAGATGCAGCTTACTCATATGTGGGCTCTGGTGAGCTATTTTTAGAACAGGCCAGCGGGCAACTTGTGTGTACCTGGCGGGCTACCTGGTGCCCACGGGCACCATATTGGTGACCCCGATATAGTATGATAACATCAGGAATTGTTTAAGGGCCAATGGCATGACCATGTTGCAATAGTCTATATATGTAATGTAAATAGTGATATATTTGAAAGTTAGTTATGGTTCTCAGTATATGGTAGGCTATATAACTTCAAAGTTGAAACATGTGCTTGTGTGTGCTTTGTTTATACCTGCTGACAGCATCTCTGGAGTCATGTGGACTACTTTTATAATAGATTGATTCAGTTATTGAATCTTTGAAAACTCAGGCACAATTCATTTCTATGACAGAATATGCTTATCTAAAAGAAAAAAGGCATATCCTTCAAGAATGGCTAGGAAATATCAATTTTATTATCAATATTATTCCTTAAATAAAATTATTCTAGTCAGTTTACTTTAGTCATCCATCATTGCAAAACAGTGATATAAAGTAGTTTTTCTCCCAGAGGTCGACATGTCTTTGAATTTATGTTTCCTAATATCTACAAACGAATTGACTTAAATTTTAGATGCTCTGTGAAAATATTAGCTGTGCGTGAAGAGGGTCATTCTGTCCAGTAACCCGATCAGTGTTTCCCTCTCCATTCCTCTCCCCAAAATAACTCTGTGCTCAGCCTACTGATTCTTCTGTTGGTGCAGACACAGAGTGAGGTGCAGACGTCCCGTTCACGCTTTCTGATGTCCAGTAATACTTTAATACAGAGCACATATTCAATTGTTAGATGTGGATGACATGACAGTTTATGGCGTTTGATGGTGTCTGCCAAATAGATCTGAATAGACATACATTGCTGCTGAAGTTACTTTTGTTGACTTGCACAGGATTACTTTTTGTTTTGTATACCGGAGCTGTTGGATAGGGTAAGTATTCATTATTAAATTGCTGAAGAAATATTTAGCATTAGTATTCCTGAATGTAATATTAATATATATATTTATATATATGTGTGTGTGTGTGTGTGTGTGTGTGTGTGTGTGTGTGTGTGTGTGTGTGTGTGTGTGTGTGTGTGTGTGTAATTAATAGTAATAGTCATCTAAACACAGTGCCTTTTGTTCGTTCTGTTTCCTGTCTATATGCTTTTTTCTGAATTTGTTTTTCTATTTAATTAAGTGTCAGATTTAGACATCTGCATCTCCACAATAGGCCCCGATGGGTTCCTGCATACAAGCATGTGTTACAGTATGATGTACAGTAGGCTAAAATGACTAAATATAGTACAGTATGTGCCTTTTTCTCTCACATTGTCCCATCAGTTTTTAATAAACTGTGGCTCAGGACCCACTATAGAGCTCTATGCACACTTTTAATGAGGCTGCAAGTCTTTATTTTATTATAATTTCTAATAGTTAATATAATCATTATTGCTGTTTATTATTATTATTATTATTATTATTTATTTATTTATTTATTTATTTACAACCTGGATCATTATAGCTATTAACCTGTCGAGTGAACGGGGAAGGAAATGCTGTCATCTTGAATAAGTCGCAAGGTTGAGCTGCCCCTCATGATTGTAAAGCGCTTTGGGTGTATGGCCATCCACAATAAATGCGCTATATAAAAAATACACATTACATTGCTTCACTGGAATAATGACTCAAAACGTCCACAAGATGGCGATATGTATCGTGAATTGCCAACCTGTAACTGTAACTACCAGTCCATAAACAACTGCTTAAACGTCTTATAGGGCGTTCATTCCAATGGGGTTTGTACTGGTACAGTGCAGCGCTTTTCTTTTTCTATTCTTATGTTACAGCCTTACTCCAAAATGGGATTTAATTCATTTATTTTCTCAAAATTCTGCACACAATACCCCATAATGACAATGTGAAAAAAGATATTTTTTTAATTGTTGCAAATTTATTGAAAATAAAAAAAACCTGAAAAATCACATGTACATACGTATTCACAGCCTTTGCTCAGTACCTTGTTGATGAACCTTTGGCAGCAATTACAGCCTCAAGTCTTTTTGAATATGATGCCACAAGTTTGGGACACCTGTCTTTGGGATATTTTGCCCATTTCTCTTTGCAGTACCTCTCAAGCTCCATCAGGATACAAAGCGATGCTGTACAGCCATTTTCAGATCTCGCCAGAGATGTTCAACAGGATTTAGGTCTGGGCTCTGGCTGGGCCACTTAAGGACATTCACCTTGTTGTTGTGAAGCCACTCCATTGATATTTTGGCAGTGTGCTTTGGGTCAAAAGTCTGATATCAAGAGCACTCTGAAGCAGGTTTTCATTCAGGATGTCTCTGTACATTGCTGCATTCATCTTTCCCTCTATCCTGACTAGTCTTCCAGTTCCTGCGGCTGAAAAACATCCCCACAGCATGATGCTGCTACCACCATGCTTCACTGTAAGGATGGTATTAGCCTGTTGATGAGCGGTGCCTGGTTTTCTCTAAACATAACGCCTGGCATTCACTCCAAAGAGTTCAATATTAGTCTCATCAGACCAGAGAAAGAGCTCATTGGAACTTTCAGAGCAGCAGAAATTTTCTGTAACCTTCCCCAGCCTTGTGCCTCCAGACAATCCTGTCTCGGAGGTCTACAGACAATTTCTTTGTCTTCATGCTTGGTTTGTGCTTTTACATGCATTGTCAACCCTTTTATAGACAGGCCTTTTCAAATCATGTCCAATCAACTGAATTTACCACAGTTGACCTCCAATTAAGCTGCTGAAATATCTCAAGAATGATCAGCAGAAACAGAATGTACCTGAGCTCAATTTAGAGCTTCACGGCAAAGACTGTGACTACTGATGTAAATGTGATTTTTCAGGTTTTTATTTTTAATAAATTTGCAACACTTTCAAAAAATCTTTGTTCACATTGTCATTATGGGGTATTGTGTGTAGAATTTTGAGGAAATAAATGAATTTAGTCCATTTTGGAATAAGATTGTAACATAAAAAATGTGGAAAAATTGAAGCGCTATGAATACTTTCCGGATGTATTATCTTAAAGTGCTCAATATATATAGTTATAATAAGGGTTGTTAACAATTTATTTTGATGATCCCTCAATATCTAGCTAAATAAACTGTGGAGCAACTGTGAAGTTTAACGGCTTATGGATTTGGACTCCAAAACAATGTCTAAAGTATAAATATAAGCCACTCCAATGTCTGCAAATACATTTTTGTTACTAATGTAAGTTGCTTATCTGCTTTGCAGTCCAATATGATGTCAGACGAGTATTTGGTGGAATGTAACATTAATGACGACGATGAGGAGGAGGATGAAGAGGAAGATTACGTTGTGAAGAAGATCTACGAGTCTCCTCCTCCTCCTCCACAGTTTTCCTCAAGCACATCAGTAGACATCAGGGATCCGTGCGGCATCAACAAACACTTGAAGGTGACTCTCACTTCTCATTCTGGACATATTTACAATTACAGTTGGTTCTAACATTAAAATTGTGGTGCTAACTCTGTAAACTGTGAAACCAGGTAGAGTTCAGCGATGTTTTGGCGGAGCCCGCATCCACACGCAGCTATGACCGGGTGTGGGTTTACAGTGGCATCGGCTTCGAGTCCGCGCGGCTGTGGAGTTACCGCTGCCTGAGCGCGATCTGTGCGGTTCCGCTCTCCTGTCTCTGCGGCTGCCTGTTCGCCCTGCTGGCCTGCATGCACATCTGGTAAGACCAGAGGTGGATTTAGTGATTTGGGGGCTCTAAGCAATTCCAGCTATGGGACCTAAAAGTTTGTACTTTAAAGGGGTGGTCCAGAATGTATTTTTAAGGCTCAGATGCAAAGATGCAAAGCAATGTGTGCTCATGTTTCACTTGAAGGAAATCACGTTACTTTTTCATAAATCTTATTTTGATTATATACAGTTAATCTGCCAACATGAAAATGAATGTCATATTTCCTAGTTCCTCTGAAAAGCCCGCCTCAAGAGGCTCTGATTGGTCATCTATCATGATGTGCTGTGATTCGCGGATCGGTTCCACGTCACGCCCGTACAAGCACACGCTTTCGTGCTGTGTAAACAGTCAGTCAACCTCATGCCCACTCTCTAAATCTGACAAGTGTCTGTAACGAGTGAAAATGGGGTGCGGCTCCTTTAAGAGAAATCGCCATTGTGTATGTGTGTGTGAGAGTGAGTGAGTGAGTGAGTCAGTCTATAGACGCGTGGAACACGAGAAGCGCATGTGCGCGGGACTGATTTTTATTTTTCTCTGATGCTCGAATTAAGTTCATTCATTCATTTTGTTGTCGGCTTAGTCCCTTTATTAATCCGGGGTCGCCACAGCGGAATGAACCGCCAACTTATCCAGCAAGTTATAACGCAACAGATGCCCTTCCAGCCGCAACCCATCTCTGGGAAACATCCTCACACACATTCACACACACACTCATACACTACGGTCAATTTAGCCTACCCAATTCACCTGTACCGCATGTCTTTGGACTGTGGGGGAAACCGGAGCACCCGGAGGAAACCCACGCGAACGCAGAGAGAACATGCAAACTCCACACAGTAACTCCAACTGAGCCGAAGTTCGAACCACAGCAACCTTCTTGCTGTGAGGCGACAGCACTACCTACTGCGCCACTGCCTCGCCCTCGAATTAAGTTATTTTCTGTAATTTATCGTGAGACTGCTGACAGAAGAATAAAGCACAAGATGTGGGATGAGATCTGTGTGATTTATTTTTCTGCTGCTACACAAGTTATGCGAGCTCTTCTGGATTTATTTATAACTCAACGCATTACACGAAGTCTTTCACATATATCTAGAATATGCAGGTGTAAGTAACATGAATCGTCCACATACTGTATCTTTTGCAAGTTCATTATCTGAGATGTAGAACGCATTTAAAAGCTGCCTATAGAGAGACGCTGTACGCGCTGGTGAGGAGTGTGTGTGTGTGTTAACAGCGGTTTGACTGATATGAACTTGTAGCTAAATCGTTAGCGGTGCCAAACAGCATTTCTCATTGTTTACATCTTTGCTACAGCATACCATTAACACTAGACACTGTACATGTCATGATCAATTTTAACTAATAAAAACACTTACATAGCTGTTAAACGCTTCTTAGCTGCTTTATAGAGTTGCTTCTTCTTTGAGGACATTTTAACCAAATCCAGCACAGAACTAGGAGGTTTGGAAGATTTTGGAAGCTGTGTTTTGTCATGCTTGCTATGTATTTTATAATTCTCCGGAACATAATTAATATTAAACTGTAAGAACTTCTGTCTTTGTGTCGTGTCATTTGGAAGCCTAATTAAAGAAACAGAAGAAGCTCTGGAAAAGCAGCGTTTGGATGGCATTTTAGCCTTCTCTGTTCACTGTAACATTACAGTGCCTCTGGCCATGTAGCTTAGCTGTGCAGTGTGTGTGCAAAAGTATGTTTGTGATTTTACTGGCCCAGAGGTATTTTTTTGTAGTCCCCAAAGTTCGTTCATTGTAGGCTTTGCTAAGCTAACTCTGTACAAGCCAAGGTCTCCCTTTGCATTGAACTTTGAGCATTTTACATTCAAAGATGCTGTTTATGTTCACACAGTTACATTACACAGACACACAGCTGCAGCACATCACACACATTTAACACATACATCATGCAAAGTCTTGTTTGCATATATTTGGAAATTTCTGAGCATTTCTCCATGCTCCCGGTACTCTTTTTTTGTCATTGCCTTGTTTGTTTTGCACCTTTGGACTGTTTTTGGATTATTGATTCTTTGCCGTTTGCCCCCACCTTTGTCTGTTTTATGGATTACTCTAATGCAGAGATGCCCAAACTTGGGCACGCAGGCCAAAGTTGACCCGTGGTAACCTTTGATTTAGCCCACCATCCCATCTGAGAAGAGAGGGAGAATGATGGGGATGGTTTTGAAATGGTCATTTAAACTGTAAAGAAACCATTTGATTGCTTGTTTTATTGTTAAAAGATAACAGAAATTAAATGATTCATTTAAATGGTGTGTGGAGACTTCGGTGAGCAAATCAAGTCAAAGGCAGATTCTGCTTGACTAGTGTATTCAGCATTTCAGCATTAAACTTTACTGTGATATAAATGTGATTGTTTGTTTTTGTTGAAATAAGTTATCATTTTAAAAGTTATACTGCATTAGTTTATATGATTTAAAGTAACATTTTCATTTTATTTTAAAATATTTTATGATAAATTAGCAAATTACCCATGGCAACTTTAATGTAATATATTGGTTTATTTACCTTCGGCCCATGGCTCATAATGATATTTGGTTTTTGGCCCTATAATCGACAAAAGTTTAGGCACCCCTGATCTATTGGATACTATCAGCTGTTTATAACTATCTGTTTATAGATATATATCATAGTGCAGATGAATAATGTGTGTAAAATGTGTAATTGTGTCTGTTGCAGGTGTGTAATGCCGTGTATTCAGGTGTGCCATTCCTGCCTGCCCTGTGTGAGGTCACTGTGGATGAGTTTAGTAAACATCTTCATCGCTCCGCTCTTAACATCTGTGGCTCACTGTTGCAGTGGAGTTTATGTGCTTTTCTCCAAAGAGTGAACAAACACGAGGAGTTTGGGGAAGCTTGTAAAACTGTCCATCACTTAAAAACAAACAAAACATCAACCCTGCTTTTGTGAAGTTACAAAACAACTGTTTAAACCATTCAAAGAAGGGGATTACATGTTATTATATAGATTTGTTTTTGATAATCTATTACATGTTAAATGATCTTTGGTACACATTTTTGTGTGATAAAATTTGCATGTGCTTTAAAGTATGTCCAACATGCAGATAATAACAGCCTCTTTTTTCATATGTTCTGATTGTTTTGTTTTGCTGTTTGATATGTGAAATGTTCATTGATTATATATGAATCCAGATTATTTGAAACAAACACACATTTGTATTGTATCTACAAAATTTACAATAAACACTAAGAGGGATTAAACACCAAATAATTTGGACCCAAGTTTGATTAAAAGATTGAAACAAAAAATTTGTACAGTTCTTTGAAATTGCTCTTATATTTATTTATGAAATATAATGTAACCATGAAAATCAGTTTTAATAAAAAAAAAATAAATAAATAAAAAAAATATATATATTTATATATATATATATATATATTTTTTTAGTTTAATTCTGTTTTAGATATTCTTAACAATTTTACAAAATGTAGGTGCAGAATGTCAAATTAGGTGCAAATACAACTTTTAAATACAGAGATGCCAGTCTTAAATGTTTAAAATGTTGTAAAGATTAAATGTGGTGGGTGATGCAGTGGCGCAGTAGGTAGTGCTGTCACCTCACAGCAAGAAGGTCACTTATTCGAGCCTCGGCTGGGTCAGTTGGCGTTTCTGTGTGGAGTTTGCATGTTCTCCCTGTGTTCGCGCGTGCTCCGGTTTTCCCCACAGTCCAAAGAAATGTGATACAGGTGAATTGGGTAGGCTAAATTGTCAGTAGCGCATGAGTGGAAATGAGTGTGTATGGTTGTTTCCCAGAGATGGGTTGCGGCTGGAAGGGAATCCACTGCGTAAAACAAATGCTGAATGACTTGGCGGTTCATTCCGCTGTGGTGACCCCAGATTACAGTTTTTCTCAGACGCTTTGGTGCGTTTCTCACAACACTATTTACATTTGCACAACAGTTAATGCAAACTGCAAAACAATTAGTGCAAACTGCAAAAGTTGATAACCTGCAAAAGCGCGTCACTCGCTCAAAATAGATAGTTCATTCCTCAAAAGCAAGTATTGATGTCAATCAAAGTGTCAGTGTCATCAAAATGAAAAGTCCTGTCACCATTGTTTATGAACAAGATAGTCAAATGGCTTTGTCATGTTTTCGTTACGTCAGTTTACTCTGGACATTTTTTCAATGCAAAAACAGTCAGATTTTGGTGACACTTGCTGAAAATGCTCAAGACAGCACTGTATACTATTTGCACAGTCATTTGAAAACTACAGTAAAGTTAGACATCACTGCATTTAGTAAGGTATCTGAGTACAAGACACTGAATATGTATGTTTCACATTTTTACTGCATTTGCTCTTTACAATTCTAATTTATTCACTATATTGTGCAAAAGAATAAACACACCCTTATTTACAACAAACATAAACTTCCTTTGGGTAGAGCTGTGCACAACTGAAGACAATATTGCAGAACATACTGGAACTGAACCTACAACATACACAGGTCTGTAAATCATTCATCAAATTGTTCAATTTTTAAGACATTTTCAGGAAAATAAAGTTTTTTTTTATAAAAACAAATTTTTTTCATAAAATTTGTAATGAAATGAAGTAATGAAACAAGGACTATTAGTTTTATATGGAATGACTATTCAGCATTCACAAGTTTAGTTAATTTTGACTGACATGACATAAGCAAACGATAATGTTCTAAACAGCAGAGAGTAGTATGAAAGCAGCTGATGCATGTCCGAAAGCATTTGCAATGTTTTGGAAGGAATGAGAAACTGCTACTATGATGTGCACAAATGACTAATTGTTTTGAGAAATGCATTACCTGGTGTGCAAATGTAAATAGTGTTGTGGGAAATGCACCAAAGCCACTGAGAAAAACTGTAATAAAGGGACTAAGCCAAAAAGAAAATGAATGCATGAATGAATGAATGAAAAAATTAAATGTTAAAAGTGTGAACATAAAATTAGGGTAAAACTAAAACAACTTATTTTGACCTGCACATATAAAAGAATAATAATTATACAATAAAAGTTTTGTTCTAAATATGCATGACAAGATTTTATGGCAGCCTGATACAAACTAGTGGATGTCTTTTGTAAATAAAGGGTAAAAAGGTTAGAATTGTTATTATTCATTTACTATAAAGAAGATATTATAATCAGAATAAATAGCACTTCTTGATAAATCTCTGAAGAACTACAATATGGGTGAGATAACTTTATTGAGTGTAAAATTACTCAACTTTACAGTTATTCACAAAAAATTAAACTGCTGTAAAAATGCATCAGATAAATATGTATATTTTTTCAAATTTTTTAATCAATCTATTAATCAACCTCAGTCCTGATTAAAACTACTAAATTGTTTAGGAAATTACAGGGTTTTAACTCTTTAATTGCCAAATTCACAAATAATGTCACTGATTTGGTGAAACAGGACAAAATGATATTTTTTCAATATAAAAGTAAAAAGTTTTTTTTTAACCTTTTATCAGTCTTGAACATGTGATCGATTAGTAACAACATTGGCTTTGATGCATTGTTAGATTTTCATTTTTCCTCCCTAATTTACCGTTGGTGGCTATATTTGCCCCATTGACTTCCATTATAACCACATTTGATGGTGCATAAATACACAGTCCTTGTTTTTATTTACTCCATGTAGTTCTGAGAGCTGTAATGCATATCAGAGCATAGCAGAAACTAAGCTCTTTTGGCATTACCTTTTTTGGGTAATGGTACCAACTGATGATCCACAGTAAAAATTACAAATTTGACCTCTTCTCAAGGGAAAAACCAGAAACAATTAAAAAATGCATGATTATATGGTGTCATGGTTTTGTAATAAAAGAAATGTGGTTATAATGGAAGTCAATGGGGCAAAAACAGCCATCAACATTAAATTAGGAGGAAAAAAGAAAATTAATCAAAAACAATGCATCAAAGCCGATGTTGTTTCACATGTCCAAGACTTTGATAAAAGGTAAAAAAAATCCAGTCCACAATTACCTTTTATATTTAAAATACGTCATTTTGTGAGTTTTTTTTCACAAAATCACTGACATAATTTATGAATTTGACAATTAAAGAGTTAAAATTCTATAATTTTGAAAGCAATTTAGTAGTTTTGCTCAAGACTTAGGTTGATTAACAGATTTATGCAAAAAAAAAATTAAAAAAGCAAGAGTAGTGAATTTGCCCAGAGTGTATCGTTGAGTTTTTTTTTAATCAATGCATTTTCTCTAAATATGTGTCAAAATAAGATTTATAATTAAAAATCATTTTTTTAGCTGAAACACAGAAAAGGTTATGACCAAAATCACGTCAGAGTGTGTAAGAATTTAAATATTACAAATATTTTTGATGTCTTTAACAATTCAAAACATGAGCTGAAGACAGGGCCAATAGACTCCACAACCCACCAGGGGGGAATGCGTGAAAAAACAGTTCCTGCTGCATTTGCATCTGACTATGCTGAAACTCAGCTTCATCTCCCCAACTCACGCATATGGTCATTTCAATGTTTGAATGTTCTAGAATTAACCAAACTGACTTTAACTATCATGTTTGATATCATTTGAAATGTCTCAGTGCGATTGGTACAATGGTCTCATTCTCTCAGAAATAGACATAATCAGAACAATAAATATATAACTTCAGGCATCTTTTGAACCACTGTGAGGGGTGTGACACTAAGTGTGAATGCCTTTTTTGTTATTCACACCCCCTTCCTTGAGGGAATTCTTGGATTATTTAAGGTAAGGCCTAAGAAAGACTCAGGGCGATTCTGCCAAACCAGATCAGCCCATAACATGGCTTGCCCCATGTTATGTATATTTCAAAGTCAGGAATGCATCTTTTTCATCTTGGATTTATCTTTGATAATTTGATGTTTTGTATTGATCATTTATGAATTGACTGATTGAATTAGCATAATACATTTACCCGACTAATAAATTGTAATGTTTGACCATATTTTGCGCACTCTATAATTATTAATTTAAGTAGATTACGCTGTATCCTTGTTTCCGCACGTCTTGCGTCAGGTCAGTAGACGGACTAAAATCCAATTGAGATGGAGCATTGGCACACTAATTGTGTTTTAGGGATCCGGCTGACTCTTGATATTGATTCATGTGTACTTAGGTGGAAAGGGCGATAACTTCCGTCTAGGTCAACAAGGTGTTGCACGACTAACCTAGATTGGGTACCCGACCTTTGTTTGAAGGTAATATTATTCTAAATTAAGTTCATATGGGAAACCATGGGCTTGGTGAAAACCAAAGTTACTATAGAGTCCAGTAGTCGGGTACATTTATATTAATGCCCTAACCTCTAATTAGAAATGATGATTGTCTTAACTCAAAGGTGTACATCTAAGCGGGACTAACTAAAGTATTTTAGAACGAGCGCGCTGGTAGCAGCCATCTAAAGTATTAGTCAATTTACCTCTGTTTAATATTCAAGACTGACCGGAGTGTGACCGTGAGGGACGCCTTCGGCCAAGGCGATTTCTCTGAGCGACATGAGCACCCGAATGAACGGATGTAATAGTTACTAGTGAAGACAAACGGTTCAAACATTTATCTAAATTACATATTGACATAATCTTCTTAATGTTTTATAATTGGAGTCAGATAAAACGAGGATAAATATATTAATATTCTAAACCACCTCATATTAAAATTGGAGTCAGATATGAGTTAAGTTTAATATAAATCAACATTGTGCACTGGAAAGACCGAACATGCAGTGAACCTTCATCCACCATTGGATACCGTCATTGAACCAACTGGCTGGACCTTACAAGTGGATGAAAACATCCCCAACCCTACATAAAGCTTAATCAAAAATATTTTCTCACCAACAAGGTCAATGAAGATAAATAAATTGAATCAACAATTTTTTTAAATTGATCAACAAATTTTATCCCATAAAACTATTTTTGAAAAAGTTTCATGCTAATATTGATGTAAAATGTTCATTTTGTCAATTTTATACAGAAACAGTTTTTCATTTATTTTGGGAGTGTAATTATGCTTTACAATTTTGGGAACATATTGGCTCATTTATTAATGATAATATACAATACAATGTTTCTGTTACTTTTAAAGAAATTATTTTTTGTTATGAATCTGCCTCTACTAAGAGAAATGCTTGTTTTGTTATAAATTTAATTTATTTTCTTTGTAAATTCCATATCCACAAATGCTAATTTACTAATACTAAACCATATTTTCCTTTTTTTTTT